CGGGGGGGGGGTTGTTGACAGGTTGAAGAGCGTTTCAAAACAACAGCGCAGGGCGGATACCTGCCCTGTGTTTCACTTCGTACCGAGAGCGGGAACTGGGGGACATTTCGGGAACGCTTCCCAGCGTTGCCGCGATTGCATAGCGCGGCGAGATCAACACATACCACATATTTTCTCACGAATCGTCGATAGGAGAGCGAAATGAGGAACATTCGTGGAGGACGCCGGCGCCCACATATCAACCTCGCTAGAAACAGGTCCACATTTTCTAGCGCGCCTACGGCGGCAACACGGTGCAATGCACCCACAAGTCTAACGAGGGGAGCGAGACACAGAGGGAAAAGCGCGCGCTGCAGAGCTTACGGGGGGGAGACAGAGTGCGAATAAGCGTACGTCCGAGAAATGGAAACTGAATTGGAAAGTGAAAAATTGGTCAGCGAAGTCGGAGAGCGAGTGAGCCGTCACGACGACATGCTGCAGAAAAAACGGCCAGGCGCCCGCACACGGATAGAAGTACGGCGGGCATTACTCTCCAGAATGAGCGCGTAATGACCCCTCCGTGAGCGTTCTTGCCATCACGAAACAGTAAAAGGTACGGCAGCGGCGCGGGCTTGTTACTTTGCGCGCAAGAAAAATATAAAAAAAAAGGCACAAAAAAGCAAACAACACGTCCTACCGTCACCATCATAAATCGGCGTAACCAGCATCAAAGATGCGTGCCTACCTCGATATCGACCGCGGGGGAGACGTTGATGGACCACAGGATGAAGGCCACGACCCCGAGAATCGCGAGCTCTCGGTACAGAGTCTCTAGCAGGTCTTGAGCGTGCCTCTTGCCCTCCGCTGCGTGGTTCATCTGAGGGACGGCGAGAGTGCGGGGAAGGAGAAAGGAGACCCGAGACGACAAGACTTGGGGTCGGTTGTTCTCGAAGGTTTTGATGCCTCTTTTGCCAACGAACCACGCTCCATACTCAATCAGAGCAAATTAGTCATTCGCTTATTATATCCTCGACAGGACCTGAGATGGCATTTTGCATCCGTTGCTGGTACATTTGGAGTTATTGATGTAATTCAGTTCTGCTATTCGTTTCGCCCAGAAACCGACCTCGCCCAATCGGACGCCCAATCGGACGCGTTATCTTCAGCTTAACAACGCCTACAAGCGCAGAGAGCCAGCTGTCACGATGAAAAAAAGACTAGCTACATAAAGATGGCTCTCTCCCATTCGGATTTACCTGGTGACAGATGAGCTCGAAGAAAAGGACGCCGCCGACGGTGCAGATGACCACGATGTTCCACGACGGCAGAGACCCGTACGTCTCCTTGCCGGCGAGCTCGCCCACGGCATCGCCCGCCGCCGCCCCAGCCGCCGCCGCCCCGGCCGGAAAGCCAGAAGCGGCATGGTCGAGCGTGTCCATCTCGTCTTCGGCGAGATGGGACATGTCGACGTCACCCGCCTATTGTGTTTCGGTGGACGCGGTAGAGGGGAGAGGGGGGAGCCGAGGGAGATCGGGGTGTGACCAACCGGCAGTTATTGCACCGCTGAGAGCCATCAGTACAGTTAACCAAGACGCTCTGACGTGGCGCTAAAATTCTGGGGGAGGTGTGGTGTTTCATCAGAGGATCATCTACGGCGTACGCGTTGGAAGGCGGTACGGCTTCCCGCCCCAACCGCCATGTAGGAATGGACGAACGAGGCTAGCCGCCTGCCTCGCCACCGTGAACAAGTGCAGCATTGCCGTGTGCTTGTCTGTCTGTCTGTCTGTCTGTCTGTCTGTCTGTCTGTCTGTCTGTCTGTCTGTCTGTCTGTCTGTCTGTCTGTCTTTCTCTCTCTCTCTCTCTCTCTCTGGAAAACGCGAGGATCTTGGAAGGGACCCCGGCTACGGTGCGCGTCTAGCCTGTGTAATGTAGAGGTATCCATACATCGAGGTTCACGCTGCAGCTCATTGTGGGAGGCCAACTAAATATGTTTTGAGCTGAGAGGTGCGCTTGCGCCGTGGTGATGGCGTCATGCGAGGGGTGTGTGAGAGAGAGGAGCTGCGCGGCATTCGTGGGGTGCCGGATGCGAAGAAGTACCGTTGTCGACACAGCTCGAACCCGCACGTAGGAGCTGGCGTTCGGTGCCGAAATATACCGCTTGGTCGCAATACAGAACGCGGGGTGGTGGATGCCACAAAGGTTTTTCTGCAAAGCTCCCGCTTGCGGTGCAATGCCGATTTTCATCTGGCAGACAGCTTGGCGAGGCGTAACGTCGTAAACTCGAAGGGTTTTGTCGTTGTGTGTCGGTAGGGTAGGTTTACCTCCGGAGGGGGGACCCACAGATCTTCGGATCAATCCCAGAGGGAAACCCAACCCATAATAGTCAATCCCACCGCAATCCTCTCTGAAATAGTTACTCGCGACTCGAGATTTGGAAAATTACCTCCGAAGTCCACGCATTGGAATGGCTGAACCCTTCCCGCGACAAGACGTAAAGAAAGCATCGCAGGAGGGAAGGCGCCGCCTAAAAAACAGAAAAGGGTGTGAATAGCAGGTGTAGAGACGACGCAACAGTGCTGCACGTACAGATGGAAGGTACTGATCGTTCGCCTGCCAACGAGAAATTTCCGCTTTGGACTTCACTTTTCCGAGGCGGCCTGCTGAGACCGGAAAGCGGGAAGTCTTTCGACTGACTACGGCACCCGGCCATTCTGTCGTCGGCGTGCTTCTCTGTCTCTTCCGAACTTCCTCCTTGGCAAATCTAAACGTAAGAAGACTGCCTTCCCCCGCCAGCAGTCGGTGAATACTGTCACGACCTGGTTTACTCCTGGTTCGCTTCGATGCGCGTTTGCTGGCGGTAGGCTGCCGCACGGTGTACTGAGAGGTGTAAGCTGTGCTGCGTAACGCGTTAGCTTTTGTTCCCGAGCGGTACTATTTATGCTCCCACAACGAAAGGGGTCGCTTGGAGAAGAGGCTCGCAAACTACAACACACGACAACAGAAGCTTCCACCGTACGGTTACCGCCATAAACTCCGCCCATATGGTCAGCCGAAAGGAACAAGTGAGTTGTGTCCCATAAAAATCGATTTGAGACAGTCTGAGTGAGGAGGAGTACGAGGCGGGGTGGGTGGGGCGCGGTGTCGGGAGTGGCAATCTTCAAACGTTGAAATAGCACGTCGTAAGGTGCCGCTTTGCCAAAAAAAAAATACAATCGCGTGCGCAAGTTGACCTTTCGATACGTTCCGCCTCCCCACGCGAGGTTCTTTTTCGTTCCCTCCCGTGATGCCGCATCGCAAGGAAGCCCCACGGGGGGCACGGGGTACTAGACTATATCTCAGCGGGTGCCCCGCCGTCACGCAACTGCCACCCCTACCAAGAACGCACTGATGATGGGCACCCGGACGGTGGTATTTTTTAACTTTTTTTTTAGGTCTGGGGGTATTCTGACTGGCCGGGAGAACTTCATCGGGGCTTTCGTGCTTCATGCGCGCACAGCAGGCGTACATTTATTTAGTGGCCCGGAATCCTCCTCTATAATAGTTGGTTTTCAATTCGTTACAGAGATGAGCCCGTCGTGTTCTACTTAACGCACACGAGACCGGTGTTGGCCTGTCGGTGCCAATAAATAATACAGTAGAGTAGCTGGTGGTGGGCAGGTGGGCTGCGTTGCCGTAAGGGATGCAAAATTCTAGCTGCAAAATTGGAAAAACGAAGAGTCGTCCTTGGCGTAACGCTCAATGATGAGGTTGCTGTTGCTGTTTGTAGGTTGACTCCCCCTTGGTCCTCGGACTGCTCGAGAGGTCACCAATAATGAAACGAACAGCGGTGGGGTGTTGCCTGCATAGCGTGTTGCTACGGCAGTGCATATTGCAAGGAGCTGATGAGTTTGGTACTCTGTGGTGCGTGGTGGTGGTAGTATTCCTAGATTCTTTTTTTTTGCCACCCCGCGGACCAAAATACCAAGCGTCTCGGCGTCTCCAGAATTTCGGTCGTGCCGCTCTACTTTGAAGCACCGCAGCAGCAGTCTACCAAGCCACATAAATATTCCGCCGTTGCACACTTGTGTGAAGCAGAGAGTTAGCCGCACACCTGCCAGCTCTCACCCGCTATCGCTACCACGTACACTCTCGCAACCCCCCCCCTCCCCCCACGGAACACGCACACCGGTCAGACCGGAACAGAGGGCTCTTGAAAATTTCCACCGCACGCACCTACGTACTTTTGGTGGCGCCCTTCCAGGTCTGCCAGAAGAACCGGCAGCAGCAGCAGCAGCAGTATACCGTCCGGCCGTCCGCCCTGCCCTTCCTATCGCGCTCCTTTGTGCTCACCAATACAGCTGGTGTGTGCACAAGTAACCTGTAAATCTTGCGCAGCCACCCTGGTCAACACGAGAACGCGGCAGCTCAGCGTAAGCTCAACCCGATGTACTACTGTTGTTCTTGGTGTCCTGCGTGTCCGTGGATGGAGTTGGTTGGAAGTTGCAGAGAGAGGGAGCGAGAGGGTCGGGCTTGTAAAGGTAGGCAAAACAGCAGTGAACGCGTGTGATAGTGGGAACGGTTCCACCACATGCGTGCACTTGGCGTGCAGAGAGTGATACGGCTCGGAAGGGTGACACGGCAGCGTTTGCGTATGTGGTGGTTCGGAGTTCGGGTAGTCTGCTGGGCTGCTGGCACAACGGCAGCAGCAGCTGGATCAAAATCTCGGAAACAAACGTGTAACAGGCACCAACCAAGCTTTGCCTGAGTTTCTGCGGTTACGCAGGCACTTGGACAGACTTGCAGCTGGCGATCCGTGCTCCCTCTCGTGGCTCGTTGTGCTCTCAGCGGGATACGAAAGTACGGGCAGTCGGGCAATGGTGGGCAATGGTGTGATTGGCGATAAGCGGCACAACTGGGGCTACAGCATGGTGACAGGTCGTGACTGAAAACTGAAAAAAAATGCGGCGGGATTTCTTCGGAGATGTCGTGTGATCTCGGATCTCGGATCTCGGACGAGAATGGCGTTTCAAACACTACCATTCAACCTTGAATCTACGCTGGCAGCAGCACCCAGTCCCGGTGTGTCGTACGCATCTACCGCCCTTCTTGTAGTGGCTTCGCTGGCCTACTTTTAAGGTCAACTCTTTCGGTATCTGCTCCTTCCTTTTGAAGTCGTGGATCATCGTATTAGAGGCGGCACCACTACGTTTGCGGCGACATGCCACCGGAGGCCAACACGTAGACTCTACTCATGTGTAGATAGATTTACAAGGTCTGTATGCTTAATCTAGGTGTATTCTACGATTAACTTTGCATCTGGAGCACAGCCACGCCCGGTCTGTTTCTCGCTATTACCACTGTGACATTTTTTCGTGGCTATGATTTGTGGCTTGTGCTGGCAAGTACAGCAGCAGTAGTAGTATATCTCTGGTGCAGAGCGTTATAGGGCATGCCCACAAGACGTTAGACTGTACGATGTCAGCTCCGCGTCGAAGCAGTCGCAGTGACCCCAGCGGCGGCATGAAGGACGGCAGCCGTGACGATGTGTCGGGGGAGCAGCAGCAAAAAGAAGAATCAGTCACCAACATAAAGGTTGCTGTGAGATGTCGGCCGTTTTCGACAAGTGAGCGCTCGAGAGGAGAGCAGAGTTGCTTCCGAATCGAGCATGGGACCGCGTGCCTCGAAAACCCGGCAAACGCTAGCGATATCCAGAGGTGAGCACGCATACTCCGTACAATAACTCACCGATGCTGGCCCGCAATATTTCTTGGGGAGTTCTGCCTGACATGCCTGATATTCTTCGTTGTGGTAGAGGCGTGAGTTCGTTAGGGCGAAGAAAGATGTGTGGTCCACACAGCAGTAGACAATCTACATAAAAAATAGATTGAACAGACTCGTCGAAACAAGAAACGACATGTTGGCGTCGAGGGTGCTTTACGAAAGGGTTGCGGAAGGCGTTGGAGAGCAGCCGTTGCCGAACAAATACACAGCCGGGCGAAGATGCAGGCGGCTATGCACACATCTCTAGAAACAATTGTGTATTAGGAAGCAGAGCTAACATAGAGAGGACTTTCTTGGAACTCCTTGGCGTTGTGTTCGTCGTCCAACCGGACGAGCGCACGAGGGAGCGCAAATAGGCGCCGGCGGAAAGAAAACCAAGTACAGCGCTGCTTTCACGCTGTTTGTGCGCACAGACAACGTATTATTGCCGAACGTATTTTTCGACAATGGAAATGCCGTCAGCAACGTCAATATTTTAGAGTCAAAGGCAAAGCTTGCTACATGTAGGGCTTTCTTCCTTTCTTTTCCCCCCTTCCAAGAACGTGAGACACTATGCTGTTCTCGATTGCTACCCCACTATCCCGCAGATTCGGGTTCGACCTCATCTACGGCGGGGATTCTAAGCAAATATCCGTCTGGAAAGATGTCGGTGTTCCAGCCATGGAGAAGGCCTTCGCAGGTTTGGCAAGGAGCAAACTCTCTAAAAACCTCTCGCCCACAACCCGCCAGAACTTGGTTGAAACATGAGATCTGAAGATGGACCTCTGCTTGCTTTAAAGCACTTGTCTAGATTACTCCTTTTGGTCGAAGGAACTTGTCTGAAAACTGGTGCACGTGTTAAGTACGTTCTTCAGTAAAAATGTGTCGGGGAAAGCTGTTGTTGATGTCGGGCTTCCACCACCAATCGGACGATACCCAGTGTGTCATCTCGAGCCAGTCGCCTAGGGGGTTCAGTTGGGAGCCTCGTAGCCTTCACACTCTCTATATAGCAGGATCGGATCTCTCTAGAGCAACAATAATGCTTAGCGCAGGCACTGCTGAAACCTCCTGTGGGTAAAAGTTGAAGTCAAGGACCGCAGCGAGAACGGTGGAGAAAGGGCACGAAATCTATGTAGTGTTGACGCTCTTCCTGTGTCACCCCGCAGACATGTACCGAAGGGAGTAACCTGGGGTCCACAATGGATGGTCCAACGAATACAACACCCACATCTAGCACGAGGATCGAAACGAGCCTCGCCGTCTTAGGCAGCAAGCTCTGGGGCCGAGACAATTGGCTTAGTTGGCGAGCGGTTGTAACGGCATCTCGGGCTGAACGCGGCGGCAGTCAGGTGTGTTCCGCTAAAACGCTCCCAACGCCATGCGATCCTGGTCCACGACGTCTTCGTGAGCCCTTTCTCTACTTTCAACCACGTCGAACCAACAGGCTTCAACACGACGATCTTCGCGTACGGGCAGACAGGCAGCGGAAAAACTTTCAGCATGCAGGGGGTGGGGGGTGGGAGCGGAGAGGGTGCGGGCATCATACCCCGCATGAACGAAGAGCTTTTCGCGCGGTGAGGTTCTGGCGCTCGGGCGCTGTGGTGTTGGAGTGGGTAAATGTCAACGCTGGCGAGGGTGGTAATGTTCGCTGGCTTTGTTGGTCGCCGTCGTACATGGTGATGCTAGCGAGCTTTGTTTTTCGTTTTCAGATCCCCGGCTGACCGGTAATACGGAAGGGAGTGTATGCCCCGTAGTACACCGCATGTACTTGACCAACTTGCGCCTTGCGTATGCATCGCTTGTCGTGATTGCCGCATACCAAGTGGGGTAGATCCCCTAACGTTGCAAACCGTGGCATGCAGACAGTTGAGTGATCCTGCCTTTCTCTCCCACCGGAGTTGCTGGTGTGTAATTTCACTAGCACTGTTTCCGGCTCGGCCGTTACATCCCAGATAAAGAGAGCTTCTCCGGACTGACATATGCGACTCTCTCACCTTCTTGAGCAAACCACGGACCACAACACTCTTCCATCCATTAGAGAATAGAAACAATTTGCTTCCCTGGAGGAACACTCGGCAGGCTGGCTGTCCCTGTTCCCATGACCGCTTTGGGGATTGTTGCTGAAACAAGACTCTCCCGGGAAGGCGGTCCTCAATCCGCTCCCAGCGATGCTCTTGTCGACACATGCCGTTGCCGCTGCTTTGGTGATTGAAAGCGGGTTCGGTGTTTACTCGCACCGCTTAGCGACGAACAGCAAGGGGTACAGCTGCTTCATCCACTCAGTACAAGGTACCTCGCACACCATGCCCAACTGTAACCTCTGCCCGCAGGGTGGCTCGTGAAAGAGAGGCTGACGCCAACAAGATGTTCCTCGTAACTTGCTCCTACTTCGAGATTTACAACGAGGTAAGCTCAAGACATTCCGAGGCGAAATAGACGACGACGGACGTCGATTCCAGGTCTACAGAGGAGAAAGAGGTGCACGCCTCGGTAACCTAGCTTAGGGTTCGGGGGATCGTGTAAATTGCAGACCAGTAGGCGAGGAGTTTATTATTTTACGTTGTCGTCGCGTGCAATTTCTAATAGATGAAGAGCATTTCATGTCTGAGATCACTGAATAGATGTTCTTCTTAACCCAAGCTCTCGTCTTGAGGAGGACATTAGGCCGGGTCCCTGGTAGACCTCTGCAACCTTCAAGTGAGACATCACCCCTGCCCTGGGTTGATTTTAGACCTACCTCCGGGCGAGAACCCCAGCATGTGTACGGCGCCTCCACAACTTCCCGATTCACTCGTGCATTGGGCAGCTCCGAGTGCGTTACTTTATCTTATGGAAGAAAAACACCCGCTCACACCCTTGAAACCCCAGGGTTCCAGATACGTCGACTGTTGAAATGTGCGTTGAGGTTGCTTGCACCCCAAGGGACGTGCGAAGGCGGTTACGTCAGTGCGTAGGAGACCGGAGAAGTTATGGTGGCGTTGCCTCTGCCTCATTTGGGATTTTCATTGCCTGCCGGTAGCAACCGAGCCTAGCTCAGTTGCAGGGGCTTGAGGAGGTGGAAAGTGAGGGAGTGAGCCATGTGGGGCTCTCCGATCCTCTCTACGATATCGTCACCACAATTTCCAACCGATACGTGGCTCCTCTTCCATTTCACGAACCGACAAAAACATGTAACTCTTCGCGCGTGCTTCAAACGTGCTCCTGTACGTCGTTGCACCCTCTATACGTCGTTGTAAACATCGACAATATTTACAATATGTAATATTTATTCGCTCTGCATGACCGTACGGTACATCCCACTGTGCAGTTGTGCTACTATATTTCAACATTCACCCTCGATGGGTGCTCGTGTTACGTACCTTCTACGTGCACACGTCTCTATGCTAATGTAGTTCAACACGCCTCCATGATTGTTACGTGTGCCACCTCACGCTTCAACAACTACTCTTCTTTGCTGCCGTTCACCTCACGCTTCAACAACTGCTCTTCTTTGCTGCCGTTCTGTCCTATTGTCTTACGACAGTTGCTTCTTGGCCTTTTCCCAACGTGTGTTGTACAGTTCTCGCAGCCGGTTAAACCGTTCTCTCTAGTTTATCTCCGACCAGATGTGTACAAGCTCGCTCTGTACATCTATATCTGCTTCAAACCTTGAGTGACGTTGTCCAGATAGTATCTTGTCTAGTTCTTCCTGTGTTGTATTTTCTCTTTACGTTTCACGAGCTTGTTCTCTGATTTCTTCTTTCATGCCGCTCAAACCCCATTCAATACCTGTCGATGCCTTCATACTTGCTACTGCTGCCGTCAGGTGATTTACGACCTCTTGGACCCGAATAACCGGAAGCGGAAAGGAGCGGGCCTGGAAATACGAGAACACGGGGTGCTGGGGATCTACGTCAAGGGATTGCAGGCACGGGGCGGTGTTGCAGTGTGCCGTAGAGTGACAAACGTCTTGGCAGAGGTTGAGAGGTCTTGACGTTCGACAGTTTTTTCAAGTTTCACGTACTTCGACCGCCTGTGCGATCGAGGCGTTGAGCAACACCAACGCTGCAACCGCGAAATAGAGGACAATCAGGTTGCCGCACACACAAGAATTCCATTCGTTCGGGTTCAAGACGGAGTACAGCTGTCGCTTGGTTTGTGCACTTGTCGCGACATCAGAGATTGATTGGCAGAGAACTGCGAAACGCTCTCATCGCCAAGAACGCGCTCTCATCGCCAAGAACGTGGCTGGCGTTGACTTTCTGCAGTCCGCAGTAGTCGTGGTTTGCTGATGAGAGTCTGTGGGAACGTTTTTTGCTGTTTTATGCATACTACCGTTCAGGAAATGGTGGTGACTTCGCCGGACAGCATGCAGCGACTGATCGACCAGGGCATGGCCAGCCGCACGGTGGGGAGCACGGCCATGAACGACACCAGCAGCCGGAGTCACAGCGTTTTCACCGTTAAGGTTAGTGGGGGAAATGTGTCGCGCCTCACCCGAGGCATTTACAGCAGCACCAAAAACCACGACGATAACAATCCCAACAACAATTGGCACAATATCGCCGTACTCTTGGGTCTATTTCTTGGTGGGGACATTGTGAGTGCCCTTTCGATAACTCTCCATGGTCGTCGGGTCTTAAACACCCTCCGGATTTGTCGAGGGGGTGCAAACACGGAGAGGGAATGCGTAACCGGACCGTATCAAGTCCTCGTCTCACCTACACATCCCCCAAGTTATCCTACCGGCCATCCTGACCACGTGTTTGTTCAGCACGTTCTTTTCCCACTGTCACATCAACTCTTGGGCACCAATCAGGTGCGGTAGCGGCAAGCGTAAGACTTTAACATGTAGTGATAGCACATGCACCCGACCACAGGAAGAGAGAGGACGCGTTCACCGAGACTATATTTCTTTTGGCGATCGATCGATCTTATCGCCGTCAAGCTTTTCACGTCTTCTGCGGACGATATTCGCCCCCCTCCGGGGTCACGATCGCCTTGCTTAGTGCCTTGCGTCTGACACCGGTATTCGATTCGACACATCCGATGCCAACTGGCACAGCAGAAACGTAACATGACCCTGTGGGTCGCTACCAACAAAACTAATATCACAAAAGCAAACAAGAACCCTCGTGTCGGTGGTTCCCCAGGTCCATCAAAAAGATGCCACGGATGAGAGCAAGAGCACCTTCGCCAAGATCAACCTCGTAGATCTTGCCGGGTCCGAACGCGCCAAGTCCACCGGGGCCACGGGCGCTCGGCTCAAGGAAGGAGCAAACATTAACAAGAGTCTCAGCAGGTTTGCTGGTTTTAGACTGTTGCAAGCCGGAGTGACGGGAGTACATGTACCATCGAGAAACCAACCCTACCACTCGTCTGGACCGAACAAGTGTCGGATGACCTAAAATAATAACCCTCGTGGTGAAGATATTCGTGACTACATTTTCTTCCGAGAAAAGACACGTTTGTTTCTGTGCGTAGGTCTTGATACCTCCCCTCTTTCCCCCGCAACAATATCACGGTTGCGCGTGTGGGTGCGTGTGCATGGACACTAAACAGCCTGGGCAACGTCATCAACGCCCTCGTCGACGTCGCGAACGGAAAGAAGGGCGTATTCGTCCCCTACCGCAACTCCAAGCTGACGAGGGTGCTACAGGAGAGCCTGGGCGGGAATTCCCTCACGGCCATGCTCGCCGCTCTGTCACCGGCTGCCTGCAACTTCGAGGAAACCCTGAGCACTCTCAAGTACGCCAGCCGCGCCAAGAGCATCAAGGTACATGCAGACCATAGAGGAATGTACCCCCCCCCCGCTAGATGTGCAGGACCGCGGTGGGCTAGTGCCGCCCTCGACCAATAGGCAATAAGCTCTCGTCAACACATTTCAGGAGGCCTCCGTACATGCTTCCATGCATGCCATGCGTACGCATGTGCGCTCAAGGTGTACGCTGTGAGAAACCCGGCATGCATTTGGCGCGAGTCAGTAGAAAAGACTCGAGAGGAAAGCGAGGAGGCGCATCACACCGCGGCGAAAGTTCGGTATGCCCCCACCTAGAGCCCTATTTCCTCTACCCTCCTTGTCGTCTTACTCCCTTCCTCTCACCAAGAAAGCACTTCGAACGCAACAGTTCCTCCGAGCAACCCACGCTTCCTTCTCCTCGCCCATTCCGCCGTAAAACGAAAACCAAAGGTGAACGCCGTGAAGAACGAGGAAGCGTCGCAGGTCAGCCGCCTGGAGGAGGAAGTGAGGGCTCTCAAGCAGAAACTGCTGGCTCACGAGCAGCAGACAGCCTCGATGGCTTCCCTGTCTTCCCCACCCCCATCCGCCCCGGCCGGCGGCAACGGCGGCGATAGCAACGACACGAGCGCGGCAACGGCGGGGGAGGGAGTGGCAGGGGGAAGCGACGGAGGAGACAGGTTGGATTCTGGTCTAAAGAGATCGCCTCCATTGATAGGTCATTGGGCTCGGTTAGGAGCGAGGGCAAGGGAATGCGTTAAGCTCGTGGTGGTGGGTTGGGTGCCCCTCTTGATGGGTGTGATGTGACACAGGGGAGATGTCTGAAGAAAGTGCCGTGCGAAAGGGCCGATGGAGACATGCTCGTTCTAGAAATCCGGGTTTGATCGCTGCAAAGGCTTAGAGCAGAGGGGGAAGAAACAAGGGTCGGTGTTGTTGCGGCTTGGGGTGATGATAGAGTTTCAAGCGGTTCCATTCTGTGACACGTCGGGAATGGTATCCGTCGGTGAAGGGTAAATAACATGTGAAATGCCGGCCTGCTAAACACGAGCTTGCTGCGTCTACAACGAACTAGTGGATTGGACGTGGCGGTCGCTCTTGGCGTTGATGCTCCATGAGTGCGTCTGAGCTACCTTCTGGCAAATCTGAGGAAAGCACCAGGTCTTTGAGTTGCAATCGCGCATACGTATCATGCATGTCGATGTCGCTGCCTTCCCGGGTCAGGTACAAGCAGCAAATTGCGGAGATGGAGGCGGCGATGAAGAGCACCTGGGAGGAGAAGGCCAAACAGTCGGAGTCCAGTGAGCGGGAGCGACAGCGCCTGCAACAGCAGGCAATATGAAGTTCTCAGCAGTCCCTCTTTCTCTTTCAACTGAAATTTTTGCCGAAAACATCCTCCGAAGATACGGCAAAAAGTAGATTGACTCAGGATTGGGTGAATGACGACACCCGCAGCTGGAAGCTAACGTAAGCGAGCGCATCAGCCGCTCTTGTGTTCTGTTGTTCGGTTTACTTCTGTTTTTTTCGTTTGGTGCTGACGTCTACCGCAGGGAAGATTGTGCGAAAAAAAGATATGTCTTTATTTTCGTACAGAAGGGCCCTACGAGAGACAGCGACGCCTGCAGCTGGTAGCATCGTATCATTGATACGGACGAATCTGTCTTCTTTGCCTTGCACTATCTCAAGAATGTTGATCTTCGGGACTACGATGTTCCCCTACGTTCCACCATCCTTTTCACCGAAAACATCAGCTTGACGAAGAGGCGCGGCGCGAAGAAAGGGAGCGCAAGAAACGGTGGCGCGCTTTGGAAGACAAGGTGCTGAAGCCGAAAAGAAACCACAGCAGTAGCCACAATAAGAAAAACTTTGTACTTTTGACAGCTGTACGGCTTGACACTTCCTCCAGTCATGTAGTTCGACATGTATGCGATGGGGTCGGGGGATAGAGTGTGCCAATCTACAAAATAACGGTGGGATATTGCGCTGGTCGGAGGATGCGTTGAAGATAAAACCTTCGATAGCTGGTCATCAGTTATCTGTCTCGTCACCCCAGCTCATTTAGGCAGCGGCGATGGCTCCGTGGTGGCGGTGGTGACCTCGTTGAGTAGCCTCTGCCCGTTGATGACACGCTTTCGTTGACAACGCTGTTCGCTACCAGGAGTCACAAGTGCTACAAAAAAAATCCTTTCATCTTTGTTTACCTTGCCAGACGATCACCGTGAGAGACTGTAAAGCGATGATTTCCTTCCTTTTTCTATTTGCTCATTTTGAGATACATATTTCATCGCATGTGTCAGGGGGATCTCGAACTGTCGATCAGGGAAGCCTCGGAGGTCGCGCTGCCCACGCTGCCTTCGAGAGACTGGCTGCGGCAGGTGAGTGCTGGGTCCGTTGTTGTTCTTGCTATCGCTGTTGGCGTTTTCATAGGGCGTAACACTGCTCCGATTCTACCCAACAGCTTTGGCATACTATTTGGTGCGTTTCCTGGAAAACTTCAGTTGCTACCCCTGCCGCATGGGCGACTTCAAGCCCAAGATCTCGACGTATGTCTTTTCCTTCCCTGCAGCATGGACGCATGGCCCTACGCTTCCGATCCTGCACACCTGAGACTCCCAACATTTTTCTGTGTCACCTCGAAATACCTGCCCTGACGTAAGCTGTGTTTTGCGCCTTCTCCTGATCACCAAGGTAAGGGCTTTGGTGGCCGCGGAGAACCGCGCCCGTGAAGAGGCCACCGTGTGCACGGTCTACAGAGAAGCCCTCGCGCTGGAGATCGACGGAGTGTTCTCCGGAGATCGTTCCTTGTCAGGGTCTTCGTTTTTCTCGGGGCTGTACGGTGAGTTGGCTCCCGTCAATGTTTCGGAGAATGCCCTCTCTTAGCTAGCCCCTGTGTTCTTGAGTTGGTCCTGAGCTTGTTTAATCCACTTCCCCGACATAAAGTAAAAATATTCCATGCAGTCGCGACTTGCGGAGGTAGATGGCGGACGTTCTCATGCTCCTGTGCAGCAAGTTTCAAGTACCAGAGTGCAAGCACACCGTACCCATTTGAATTTTTCACGTGCAGTGACCTGCGGACGTGAGGATAGAGAACACGTATCCTTGCGCACAGCTGGGATTGGGGGTCGGAGAAAGGGGAGCTCATCGGGAGCTCCTCGATTTGAGGCCGATAGGTCGACCAAAGACTGATGAACAAGGAGGGACAGCGTGTTCCAGGTTTTGCGTCATCGGATACTTTCTCTGTCTCCGGCGTGTTAGTCGACATTCGCTTGCTGACGGCTTCGGGGTCTTTGCTGAGCCCCACCAGCCTATATCTTGGCGAGGTATGCTTCCATGAGACACTTGTGCCGTCCCTTTACGGTAAGGGCTGGCTTTTCCTTCGGACTGCCTTGGTTCATCTTTCACCACGAGAGCATTTTCCTCAGGACATGGTCCTCGTGTATGTACTTTATTCATCTCGCGCAAGGAGGGATTTGGCGAGAGGATGCTTTCCTCCTCGTCCCTCGGACACCCACACAACTGACAGTGCTGCCTGTTTTGTCTCCAACCATCCCTCACTGGCTTCAACTCTCTTGAACAAAACAGTCGTGCGGTTGGTGTGTTCTCTTTCACATCCAGGCGGCGACCCCGATGACGACCGCGCGTCGGTGGCATCGACAGCCTGCACCGCCGTCTCGGATCGCGAGGGCGTCCTCATCACCAGCGCCGCCGCCGCGGCCGGAGACGACGAGGGCACTCAACAAAACCAACCTCGAGGTGCACCACCTGGAGATGGTAGTGGTGGTGGAGGTAGTCTCCCGAGACAAGCGGTCAAGGCTGCATCAAGCTACGACCCCGCCCTGTTGCGTCAGCTACAGGTGTGCCATTAGTCGAAACGAGACGCTTTCGCGCCCCCCTTCCTCCCGATCCCACCTCTCGGTGGCGAGAGAAAACCACTTTGATGTGCCCTGGCGTACGCAGGTCCTGTTCCTATACTCGGACCTAAGCGCTCTGAGCGTAGGCAGTCACCTTGCGCTATCGACATGAGCTCGAGTCCCTCAGGCGTACGTTAAAGTGGTGTGGCAGTATTGGCAAGAGCCTCTAGCGACTTTTCCAGAAACCATCCTCCCATGGCTACAGCGCAATGCCAGCGAGGGAGCATTCTGCCTCATCCAGTACCCTGACCTTCCATTGTTGTGTCCATTATCCCCTTGGTCCTCGCCTCGCCCTCCTACGGAAGCCATCATCACATGACGAAAAACGTCTGGAGCGAAAGTCTACTCCTCTACTTTGAAAGATGCCGTTCGTTGTTGATACTCTGCACACAGAGTACCTGCCCTGCCCGCCTACGTTAACGCCTTTCTTTGGGTGTCTCAATACACCCAGGCACGACTCACGAGCCTCAGAGACGCGCGAGAGAGGCTCCACGGTCCGCTCGCAAGAGCTGTCGAAGAGAGTTCTAAGAAGCTTTTGGAAAGTGTGGAGTCGTTCTCGGCGAAGTTTGCGGCCTCTCCGCACGAGCACATCGGCGGCGGCGTGCAACGGCTAGGAGGCGCAGAGGTGCGTGGCAAATCAAGCAAAGAAGCAGCGGGGTAGAATTTGTAGCGGTGGTTTTCGGGCTAGGTTTACAAGCCGTGAACGACTTTTTGTGGATCCTTTATATATCTTCTTTCTTCTGTTTGGGGATGGTTAAATCAACTAGAAACAGGAAATACCGTATATTTCTGGAAGTATCCTCATTCGTAGTACGATATGCTTGAACAACGTTCAAAGTGGTTTTACCGATAGTTCCGTCCGCTCTTGCATGGCGTGACTCAAGGGCGGGGGCGAAAACCAGCGCGGAGAGACAACAACACCACATGTAGTAGTGAACGGCGTGGTGGACGTTAGCAGGGGATGTTGGAGTTTGTCCCAACTTGTGAGCGTTTATTTTCCACGCGTGCGCGCTTTCTCTACGTCGTTGGCCTTCCATACAAAGGGAGACAATCTACCACACGCAGCCACGCTCTTTGTTTTTGTCCAAGGCCGCGCATGGAGTAGCGGCTGCGGCAAAGGTGTTGTTGTCCAAGTTAGGCGCTAACCTGTTGCCTTCATCATCCGTGGTGACGATCGACCTGGTGACGTGCAGAGCAAAGGTGACGAAGGTGCGGCATCAGGGACAGCAGGACCAGGACCAGGAGCAAGAGGAGAGACGGGGGAGGCTGCATCCCGAAGGTAAGACGCCGAGAACCGGTGACATCGAAGCCGGAATATCCCCGCACGTTCTGTCACGCGGGCTGAAGCAGCTGCTGCCGGCCAAGAGATCATGCGGAACGAGAACACGACGCCGACTATGTTTGAGCCATTCTGAGGCAGAACGCCTCCCCAATATACTTACGAATCGAACTCCTTCAGACCGCCTACCGTTTGTAGTAGCAACATCGTGCACCAACCGAGGGACGATTTGGAACTCTCTCTCGTTCTTCCGCTTGTTCTTAGCCTCTTGTGCGTCGACAACAATGGTGACACAACGCGCTTGGGTTTCCAGCCCACGCGCCTCCCACAACCCCTCACATCGCCTGGACCCTGCAAGTACCATGTCTTAAGATGGTCGCCCGTGAGCGTTGCGTTCCGGCGACAAAGAAAAAAACGCCCCCATACTACACAGGTGGTATCCATAGAACCGCACCACCACATCGTCCGTACAGGACCTCTTTGTACCGTATCACATTTAATGTAGATTCCGTGGAAACGAGAGGAACGCCGGTGAATATGCGCCTTCATGCTCTTGTCTCAACAGCGGGTATCGTCCTCACAACGTGACAATAATGAAATGATGCATTCGATACATCAGGGCGGAGGCCAGGAAGAGCGAGGGAGTCCGCGCGCTGGCCTTGATCCGTCGGCAGGTCGTCGCCCGTGGCCGCCAGACTCGGCAGCAACGGGGCTCTGGTACTGTGACCAGCGTCAACGGCGAAGCGGCGCTAGACGCTGCCGGGAAACCAATAGCCGCAGCCATCGCAGCAGCAGAAGAAGTAGCAGCAGCGGGAGAAGCGGTAGCAAGAGAGGCCAAAGAAGGGAAATGGAGAACGAGGCCGGCTAATGGAGCACCAGGAAGAACCGGAGGAGGAATAGGAGCTGAGGCAGAAGCAGCAGCGTCGATGGCTGCGACAGTCGGGAACACTCTACCCGCAAGAGCCGCAGACGCGGAGGCGCTCTGCCCCGCCGCTTTAGTCATCGCGAGAGCGGTGGAGGCCGTACTGTGCGGTACCACCGCAAGTTTCGCGGGCACCGACGGTGACAGCGGCGGTGGCGAAAGCGAAGGGCGAGGCGGACTCAACAGTCCAGAAACAGCAGCACCACCATCAGCAACGGCGAAGCTAGTGGCGACAAATGTTGCCGGCGAAGAGAAACGCGAAGAGGTTGAGATGGTCGCCGATGGGGAAGACGGGAGTCAGGCGGAGCGAAAGCAGTATCGCGAAACTCTGGAGGGGCTGGGTAAAGCTCTTGGAACCCTCCGGAAGGCGCTCGAAGCTGCAGCGGGGCATGACAAGCCCTCCCTTGCAATCTCCTCCGCGTCAGCAGATGAGCCTGCCGGGGTCGACAGAGTTTCCAGGACGCAGGGGCCTTCCAATGATCAAGCTGGCGGCGGCAGTACCGGTGGTGATGGACGCAACGTCACGGAAGGAGGGGCAAGGGCAGTGGGTCTGCCGCAGCTGGAAGTCCTGCCCCCTTCGTCGCAGTGGCGCTTTCGGTGCTCCTCGGGGGGGAGCGCGGCGAGCGAGGACGAGAACCTTCACCGGCTGCAAGAACGGGAGGATAAGGAGGTGACAGTTGTCAGACTTTTTCCAGAGCTTTTCCCGCAGAGAGAGAGAGAGAGAGAGTGACGAGCGTCGTGTGGAGAATGGCAGGTAGAAAGGGAAGTGGTTGGGGGCTATTGATTCTCTCGCCGGCACTTGGATTGACCCCCCCGCCCCGAGAGGTGGCGAAGCGAAACCTGGCGCATAGGGGTAAGGGGGGCATTCAAAGCGCAGGGTGGAAGGGGCAGAGGAGGCGGCAAAATGTGTACCATGCAATAGACGTGGAACGAGAGAATAGGTCCTTCGGCTCGCGTGGTGGGTAAGCAGGGAAAGAGAGCTATGCATATTTTGGGAAAATACTAAAACGGTGCTCTTTTTTCGTTGCATCGGGTTATCCAGCCTACTATAATTGTCATACGCCTATATCGAAGTAACAATGTCCACTAGGCGCGTTACCAACAATCTCCCAACTAAAACGTCCCTCTGGAAACCTTTACGCCGTGTACTATGCGGCGAAAGGACAGCAATTGTTGCTGCTTCACGTGGGAGCCGGCGGCGGCTGGGGAAGATGATGGGAGGCAGCTTCGTGCTTTGAGTGGCGGCTCCTCAGATGGGGGTTCCTCCCTTGCCTCATCTCGCTGCTGGGTGGAGCTGGACTTCGGGAAATCGGTCACCGTCAAGGGGTTGACTATTGAACCGCTGGCTAACCAACCAAGTGGTGAGAACATCGGGTACATGTATGGGATTGTAGGGGGGGGAGGCAGAGACAGAGATCAGAAAGAGAGATTTTATTCGAAACCGTTTTCACACCATGGCCGCAAAGAAAGAAGGTGTACTCAGCATTACTGTCGGTGGTCGAGCTCCAACCCACTCCCCATGGTATTGATTGTACGGGAGGGCCGTTGCGGCATGTTGGCAATGTTCACTGTGGCATATGTCCTGTTCCCGAACTCTTTCGACATCGATCGGCCCACGGATGGCCAATCAAGAGACAGGCCTCATCCTTGAGGCGATTTGGTGGACTAATCCGCGTCCCCTCTCTGCCCCGCGAGTTACTAGATGGCATCAACAATCCCCTAAATGCTATGCCCTGACGCTCTGACCATGACTAAAACAAGACGAACGCCTTCTTCCGTTTCAATTGGCGCTCGTATTGCTCAGAGCACTTAGCGGCAGAGGTCGAAAAGGTGCCGCAACAACGTCGGACCCCGGCCTCTATCGCGGGGTTCGGCATAGAAGATGCGGATGGGTCCGTAGGAAGAACCGAGGTCATGGTTGGCGAGGTCATGGGGGGGTGGGGTGGGATATTGAAGAGCACTCCCCCTGCTAAGCTCTTGGCCCGACCGCCGGTCAGGTGAGGTCGGCAACTTTCAGTGAAAAAAACAAGGCTTAGCAGGAATCGTGACGTTGAAAACCGAGGATAAAGCCCGTTTCCGTGTCGGTGGTTGTCTCCACTTCGAGGGAAGTGTACGAAGGCGACATGAGAAGCCCCGGTCCAGGCGTCCGTGTGATTGCGTCGTTGGTAGGTTTAAGGAATCCTCAGCCTACTTCCAACTCCGATGTGGGCTTAGTGGACACACACAACTTTTTGCTGTGATGACAGACTATGCGTGACCTTACTCGCAAGAGCCTCCCTCGGTCCACCTCGTCCCAACTCACGCGAGCTCACGACAATGTTCCTTCGTGTATACAAACTGTAGCCTGAGTAATGTTTGCTCCGGGTTATTCGTAGTCGCCTGCAACACGTCTGGAAAGAACGAGCTCGCAGACACACGCTGTGTAGTCGATCGTCCTGCTCAAGGCAAGACTATTTGAGAACGTGAACCCTTCCCTGCCCCCGCACTTTCACCGTGAAAGATTTCTGTACGATCTGTTCCGGGCTGTCGCGAAGGCCACCGGGTTTGGAGAAGACGAGGCTTGTGGCTCAAAGTGGGAGGACCTCTCGGGTATGTATCACGCTGTGCAGTTGGGGCTGAATGGTTGCCGATGAGAGTGAAGTGGTTGTGTAGCATTTGCGGGAAGGTGTGGGGGCAAGGAAGGGGTCGGCGTAGGGCCAGGATCAGCTGCAAGACACACCGAGCAGCATTGGCAAGAAAGAACACCCAAAATTATATCAGGACTCTCAAAATGGGGCCTCCGAAGCTCCAAAAATGTTCCTAATCAGACCACAGGAAGGTCGCCACGATATGTGTCACCACACCACGTCATTCCTGTACGAGTTGCGATGTCTCCGTGGGTGTGCGTCGGGTGATGCCGTGTCGTCGATATGGCCCCTCTATACCGAAGCTAGCATCATGATTGATCTTTGTCGAAAGACAATAGGCGGGCGAGTAGTCTATCAGTGTAGACCGGTTTGCTGATTTTGGACGCGCTGAAAAAGGGCATCGAGGGGACAGCGATAGGAGTCGCTATCCTAAAAGAGGAATCTGTCCCCCTTTCCCCGGTTTTAGTCTGAGCTTTCCTTAAACTTTATGGAAGTCGGCTTCCCTTAATTTTCAGTTTTGGAAGTCGAGGAAGATCTCACGGGCTCGCATGGGATCTCTAACGAACCTCGTGTGAATGAATGAAGCAATCAGGCTAATACGAGGGCCGACGGAACTAGCTCCACGAAGCTTGACGGTGAACCTTGTGGAAGTTTAGTCTACAACTTCCACCCGATTCCACGTAATTTGGCGCTAAGCATCAACCGAAATCCAGGAACTTCCTTTCAGAATCCAGAAAGCCCAAAGTTGCTTGGGTTCGCCGTCGAAGGGGGAGGGCTTCGTTGGAATGCATGGTGATTGGCTAAGTATAAGTGCGTCGCGATGAACAGGCCGTCAGATTTGGTCAACGCTAGGCAGCAGGACCATCACAGGGCATCAGACGCCGAACGACGTGTCTACAATCCTACGCCACTCCTGTCATTAACCAATACCCTCGTGAAAGTGGTAAAGCCAAAGAAAATGTCCTGGTAGTTGGTAGAGTATGGCATCCATCGCAGCTAAAGCTTTGTCGACTTAAGGGGAACCGTAGAAGGCTTAGACGTGCATGAAAACTCATGACAGTGGTGCCGTCGAAGCTGCCGCGACTACCCAGGCAGTTGTCACGCAAGTAATAAAGTGAGGAAAATGTTGAAGCAGGCTGTGCACCCGTGAACCGGAGTCATCCCTGGCGAAAAGAGAAGAAAACACAACCCCGACCCGCCCGAACACTACACGCCGCAGGCAAGAAGGACAAGATGCGGTTTATGGAGGGCATGATCCAGCTGGTGGCCGAAAGCTTGGGGCTAGAAAATCGTCCCGCGAAGGGGTCCGACATCGTTGTCGGGCAAGAGTGCGATGCCACCAACAGGTTTCTCCAGCTGCTAGCTCTAGCCGCACGCCTTCACCAAAACCGCGAGGAGCAGCGGGGGCATGAGCATCGTGGCATCGATCACACCAACGACGACTCGCGGTGGCAGCCGAGTCGGGCCAAGCACCTGACTAAAGAAGCAGCAGCGGCTGCGGTCGTCGCCACGAGTTTTGACGGAGTTTCGTGGGAGGAAGCGACCTTTGTAGCGTTCGAAGAGGATGGAGATGACATAGCCGGCCATATCGATAACGGTGTCGTCAAAGACTCTCTTCACACTCTCACGCTGAGACTCGCCCGGGCAGCAGGGGTGAGGTGTCGCCACCTCCGGCTGTCGTGGCCCGCCAAACCAGCCAGCAGCAGCGACGGCAGCAGCGACAACGACGCCGATACCACCAACACCCCTACCTCGCCCGACCAAGCCAGCGACACAGCAGCAAGCATAACCCATGCCGCGCCAGCTTTCGACCCTGGTGCATCCGCTCCTGATCACGTCCGGGGCGGTTACCGTCCCGATGCCGGACAGCTGTTTTTGGGGGTAAAGGCGTTTCGTGTTAGGGTTGTGGGGGAGGGGGTGGATGGAGGGACCGCCGCCAGGCGTGTTGGTAACGGGCGTGGGAGGGTCCTTGGTGAAGAGGTGGATGAGGAGGGAGGGGGGCACAGGTTTGCTGGCCGGGTGAAGGGCAGCCGCGAGGGTGAGGAGGAGGACAACATAACCAAAGACGCCACGAGCAAAGCAGGTGACGAAACTCAACCAAAAAACTAGAGGGGGGTGAGGAGGGTCTTATACTCATAATTGCAAAAGATGGCGCAATGGAAGTTGGGGGGCTCGGGAAGTTCGTTGGTGGACACCAACCACTACTGGCTGTTGAGGGGCCGAGCGCGATATTTGTCAGCAAAACAAGTATTTCAGGTGGACTTGTGGGAACTTGGCGAAATACATTCATCACCCCAAATCTGGCAGAGACGGGCAGGTACCTGTTCGTCCCCGTCTGAAACGTTGAGGTTCATTGGGGCATTCCGTTGCCTCGCTACCGATATCTTCAGCTATATCCTCGTCTGGAAAGTTATCTGCTACTGCTGCAGATATGATCTGACCTCTTCTCTAGCCTCTCCATCTCAATCTGTTCCGACCAGTATCATACCACAACATTTCATTTTCTTCAGGCATATTCCAGAAGATAGTGTTTCGGTCCCAAGAGGAGCCTAAAAGCCTCAATCCCCCGATGAACCCGCGCCACCAGAAGCGCAAGAACAAGCGGCGATGGGCTTGCTCTTGGAGGCGATGCGCACGGCGGTCGACCGCCTGCTTCGGCAGTCTCTGGAGTGGGGGCGGATCGAGGCGGCCAATCAGGACAGGAGAACGGCGATGCGGACCAACAAGGTGTGGGCGCCAACCAATCCACCAACCGATGTCTATTGCCGCCAGTGTGGTTCGAGAGGAGTCGCCCCTTCAAATTATATACAACGACGTCAAGTGACTAATTGACGGTATAGGCATCATCTTGTTGAACATTACATTGGATTTGTTGACGGGGGGGGGGGGGGGGGGGGGGGTAGAACTGGTGGTTTAGAGACGGTTGCACCGCCGCGCGAAGCAACTAAAGGCGGGCGAGGTTCCACCCGCTCCTTCCCGGTTGTTCAACACTTCGATTCTTGACGGAGAGCTCGGTCAAGGGCGAAGGAGGTGAAGGAGAACATTCGGGGTTGTGCTGGGGACTGTGCGAATGCGAGGAGACTCATTGTGTTCCTTGGGTTAGGCCGGCCTGAACCTTCTTGAAGCAGAAGTGGCATGTCGCGTACTTCCGCATCGTATGCCGGAAGCGTTTTGGGCGATGGAATCAACCTATTGGGGGAACATACCTCCACTACAGGACCCGAAATACGCATTGGACGAAGCAACGATAGTTCCCGTGCTCCATGTAAGGTTGACCTCCCCAGGTATGGTGCTCATGCCAGGAACAGAGAGAAGGCGTTGTATACCCTTTAGGAAACGCCGACTAAATATGGTTAACAGCACATAATTGTGAGAGCGTCCCACAAGCGTTCGGCAAACGTCCGTATTTCTCAGATGGAGTCCTTGGAGAAACGCCTCAAGGCTTCTAATGAGGCGAAGTCGCGCCTGGCCAAGGACAAGAAATCGATAGCACTCAAGGCGACACGGACAGAAGGTGACACGAGCAACTCCAGGCCCAACATGGCGCTTGTGTTCGAACTCAGCAATATAAAATACCGTAGTATTTTCGACTGGTGTACGGTTAATCGACATGTACAGCAAGTGATACCTCAAGAGCGCACGCCCAGACAGCCGCGACCCTTGTAACGACGGCTGTACGCATGTCGTGCTTAGCAACGTGGATGTATAGTCGCAGGATGCACATGTGGTCGGCGAGCTGGACACATAAGGTCGACGTGTGTGCATCGCCAGAACGATGGCAATAGCGACGGTGTCGTAACCAACTCGTAGATAGCGTATCTCCTGAAGCGTGTTTCAAGTGGTTGACCTTGAGAAACCAATAAAGGCGGTCAGGTTCGAGGAAACCAATCTTCACGGTTCGGCCTCACCTCTAGGCTGAGAAGGGGAATACTTCCGTCTAGCGTTGCTGCCGACAATCGACACTTCAATGCTTCAATGTGCACTCCGAAGAAACGCGCTAACCGTTCCTTTGTCTTCCCAACAAACCTAGCGTCTTCAGCGATATACACCTAGTATCGCCATGTTGAGCTCTGTCTCCCGCTCAACTACGCATTATTGCCGCCTTTCAGAGGAAAACTTGAGGCTCCAGGAGCAAGTCCTGAGAATGAGGGCGGACGTCGGCCGAGAGCGAGTGGAAAATACTTCACTCGCCGAAGGGCTGGCGCAGGCTGAAACAAGGGTAGGGGTCTTGTCTCTTGTTTTAGGTAGCCTTGGGCACCAAAAGTAGGTGTAGTTCTATAACCTGTGGACCATGTAGTTGCTGTTATCGTTCTGTTTGCCTTGACGCAAAAAAAAAGTTCAGACTTTCTCCAATTACCTTGGCAACATCCGTCGAGACCCAAAGAGGTTGTGCCCTCGACGCGTGCAGCCTCGATTTGCCCTTGGTGTGTCCGGCTCTAACAAATGTGCGCAGTACTGTAATTCATGTCTTAAACGAGGCCTGGACTTTGTTTTTCATGTTCCCACCTCCTACTACGGCCGATCGTTCTTCATCGGAGTTCTAGCTTTGTGTACACACGACCTTCTTGTTAGACCATTAGAGACCAATGTAGAATAAGTCTGTACACCCTGCTGGTTGTACGAGGTTTTGATGCTAGCACTTGTGGAGAGGCGCTCTCCAGCAATAATGGACGGCTGGGTGTGGAGAAGTATCCTTTCTTGGATGCGCCCACCTGCAATCTTCTCGAGCAACCAGCCCTATCTTTCGCCCAGGACGTCAGCAGTTTTCTTCAAAATCATCTCGCCACTAGTCCAACAATTTTCCAATCAGTAGACTGGACCGTACCTGACAGCTTCGTACGGCCGATTTTCGACATAAATGTTCTCGCCGATATGGACACAACGTCATTGTCCCACACATGCATAGCTGCTGGTCGTCACCACGCCGTGAATCAGTTCCAAAGCGGCTAGCATCCCCTATGAGTACCACTCAATTGCACAACAAGCACTTCCGGCGATTAACGACGTCGTGGATCCTCAGGTGGAGGAAGAAAAGTCACGGTTGAGAGAGCTAGAAGATCTCAAACGACACCTCGACAGCGAGACCGAGGACCTTCAAAATCAGGTAAATTACCTGTACACGAGGCTCCCATATCTCTCTTTTCCCCTTCCGATCAGCACCAGAAAAGAGTCAAGATTTCCTAGTAGCAACTACTCTCGAAGATCTCTCTCTCTCTTTGATGGGAGATGCGGATCGGGTAGCACTGGTTTTAGCTCTTACGGTGATTTTTGGTGCACAGCTTGTGTGATGCCTTACTTCGTCCTTGAACGACTGGCCATGTCCCCCGGAAACCTGCGGCCACCGCCATAGGTTGAGGTCTTGACCGAAGAGAGGGATGTCGCCCGGTCCCACGAGGAAGAGCTTTTTGCCAAGCTGACAGAGCGAACGGAAGACCTGGAGGCCCTGCAGGAGAGCTACGTCTCCCTCACCGACCGGTATGCTCTTGGGTCGGGACACGCTAGATGTTTCAGTTTCTCTCGTCGAACGTGGGCGTGCGATAGACCACGGTTTCGCAGCCGTTGTTCTGCCGTGCGTGTCGTAATAGATCGAGCTGGAAGCAACTTGGGGGGAAATAGATTTCTCTTCTTTCCCCTCGAACGATCACAACAACGCGATGACGCCTGGAAATCCATGGTTAGAGTGAGGGGACGGTTGTAGTGAGGATGTCACTGACGTGTTTGAATTTCAAACGTACAGAGCGTTAACCCGCACTGCGTCCAGACAACTGTAGGTTTCCTTCGCACAACTCCTGTAACAAAAATATATGTGCATCATGAAGAATCTATAGGGGGTGGGAAAACGACAGTCCGTGTTTTTTCGCTAGTTTTTGATCTGAGTTTCGGTCCTGTAGAAAGAGGCCTCTACATCTAGATTAACCGGATGGCACCGCACCCCAGGTGGAACGACTTCCAGGACGAGCACGACGAGGTGCTGGAGCAGCTCGAGAGCTTTAGGGCCACCTTCAAGCTTGCCAACAACAGCAGCAGCAGCAGCACGCCTCCTCCTCGTCCCGACACCACGGAAGACGTCGTGGAAGCGGCAGCACCGCTAGCATCATCAACCCCGCAAACCTCCAAAGCGGTACTCATGGACGGGAATAGCGCTGACGACAGCATCAGCAGCAGCGACCCGAGACAAAACGGCGAAGACCACGACGACTACAGCCGCCACCAACAGCTCGGGATAGGAGGATCTCCAGAAGGGGTCACCACCATTCGACCAATCTCCGAGCCAGAAGGCGGAGGCCGGAGCAGCCACGCTCCTCCCCGACCAGCAAGCGGTCGGAGCGCCGTGGCGTGCGTGGGAACCAACAGCAGCACCGTATCTCCGCGCGAGGAGCTGAAGCTACGTCTCGGCGGTGTGGGCGACAGCAGAAGTAGCCGTAGTGACAACGCCGATGCGCCGTCGAAAGGGGGGAGAGATCGAAGCCCTCGCCGATCTTCCCCCTGTCGGCCGCCGTCCTTCGATTCAGCTGTTCCGTCTCCCCATCAAAGTTCCAGCCCTCGGATGTCGGGGTCGGCATGTGACGCTGAACTAGGGAGCGCTGGGGAAACCCAGGAGGCATCCGGGCTAAGGAGAAGGTGGAGCACCGAAGACTGTGCTGGTTATCGCGGCGGTTTGGAACAAGGTGGGGATGCCGAAAGCGGCTGCGGAACGAACGGTGCTAGGCCACCCGCGACAGTTGTTGGTGGCGGCGGTGCAAATGATGGCGGCCGCGTCGACTTAGAGGAGCGAGTTCCGGGCCGCGGCGATGATTGCGGTAGCAGTGATGGGGAAAACGAATTCAAATCGCGGCGGGGCGATCCTGGTGGGAAATCGGTATCCGCTACCGCTTCCGCTTGCACGGCGGGACGGAACCCCGGCATTCTTCAGGCGGGAGACTCAGGGGGCTATTACGAAGACGACTTCGACGAATTTGTGGAAGAGGGGTCCGAGGAAAGCGTGCAACAGACTCGCCAGACACGGCCCCAGAGCGCCGTGGGACATCAGAAAGAAGAGGTGTGTCCTTCGCGCGGCGCCAGTCGTGAGAAGCAAGAGCGAAACGTGAACGGTGGTGGCGGCAGCCAACCACCGGCCGAGATCGTGTATCGCCCCCCATCTAGCGGAAGCAGGGGTAAAGGGGAGAGACCCAAATCTGCTGCGAGACAGGGGAGATCGGCGAGCTTGAACGGGGCATAGCAATGGGACGCGTGTCCTCAGTTTATCGCCTTAAGGCTCTTCTTGGCGAAACGACGACCGAAGGCCATTTCATAGGTCGTTCGTTGTTTTCCGAGACAACGGGCAATGATGTTGTATTTTGTCATGCTCTGGGCTCTAGTTTATTCAAATAGATGACGATGATGAATGTAACACTAGACGCAAGGGCGGTCCGATGTCGACGAACGACGGAGTGACGATGGCATGATCGATGAACGCGGCCCAAGGCCACCCGAACGACTCGGCCCACCCCACCCCACCCCAACTCAACCCGAGCGAACTCATCACGGTCCAACACCTCGCCCAACCTAGCAACCCACCCGAACATAGTACAACATATCGATCCAAATCCAGCCTGAACTCAGCCGAACGTGATGCGTGCAAGAAACACTACATGGGGGATTCACACATACCTTTACGACCCGCCCCACAGCCAGCGTAACGAAAAATAGGTGGTTGCCTGACAAGAACAAGTAAAAACAATCCATGCACAATCCAACCCAAGTGCCGACTCGCACAAACACTCCGCTACTGCAGGAAAACCATTGTTGAATCATGGTCGTTCGGCAATTTACCCAGCCGACACACACAAAGCTAGTTAGGAGCTAAACGAGCGACCACAATGTATGACAAACAGTTGCACTCAACAACAAACTCCTATTTCGAAGCGGTGGTCAAGCGGCGGTCAGACAGTGGTCCGAGGCAGGAGGACATCTCCAGATCTGCGACCCCGGATAGCTGGCACCGGAGCAGGCGGCGCCGGGCGATAGATACATAGATAGTGATATCCTGGCCCTGACGGGATTCCTGCTCGGTAGGAGAATCCACTCTCCTCCAAAGAAGCGGGCATCGAAGTGTCTTGTGGAGAGCTGTACAGGAACGCCAGTGGCGATCAACTGCAGCAGGATGGAGAGTTTTGTTGTCGAAAATAGAAGATGGTGCATGATGTTTCTTCCCACGGTACAATAGCAGTCTACATATATCTGTAGTGACAGCGCCGCTCTTACAACAATCGACACGAGCCATTGAGGGTCCGTCAAGTCTTCGAACTGACAATGACGGTGGTAGAGTGGTCATCAAACAAACACAAACACGGGATACCAAGGGATGCGAAAAAAAATAGTATACGTCGAGTCGGCATCACTCGACGGTGGGCGATCTGCTGTTGTACTAAACACACACAGTACTGTACTCTACAGACAGTATGCCTACGCTCGGATGTCAGACCGAAAGCTACATATACTGCGCACGCCTCTCGCAAGATCCTGCTCCTCCTGCTGGTCGTGACCGTTCGAACCCGGAAAGCAAGTAGGTGTCGAAGTCACCGTGCGGAGTGGGAGCACTCCCTCACTCTTTGGGACAGCCAAACAACGGCTCCAACGACGCCATCCCCGGTCGCCTATTTCACATCCGCGGAGGTGCGACATTCCTTGGTCGGTGGGTCGATTGCCGGACGACCCGTAACTAACGATGGGACTGAGCGAGCTAAAAAGCAAAAAAAAACAAAAAAACCTAGGTCGGAGAAGCTTTTCTCTGACCCGTGTGAAATCGTCATGGATCCAAATGAAGAGTACAGGAGCAGTGCCGACGCCAACAACCGTACCGGCGATTCGCGCGTCGCAACAATATTTGGCGCAAGACACGCTGTACATATCTGCTCGGGAACCGGTACAATAACGCCCGAACCAAACGAATCAAAGAGGTTCCGACCAACATTGGGGCATCGGGGCCTCCGATGCTTGGGGGCATCTGCACAGCTGTATCAAGGAACGAGTGCGACACCTGGCCGCGACGTTCACCGCCATCGAAGCCCTCACGCATGTATTTCTTGCGCCTCGTCCCAAACTCCCCCGGCCGGGATGATGGGGTACACATCTACAGCAGTAGGCACAATCTTAGGAACAGTTTTTTTTTTCTACAAGAATTGGTTCGATGACGAACTTCTGTTTGTTTGTGTTGGTTGGTCGTTTTGGTCGTTTGGTCGTTTGGGTCTCTCACTTCGTATGTACGTAGTAATCGTCTACATACAATACGGTCGGTCGCGAGTTGGGCTCAGTCAGCTCAGGTCGATTTCGTTGTGCTGGGGTTGGTCCATCATTGCGTGTGTACGGACATAATGTGCACATGAAGAGAGTTCATCGTCGACTTTCCTGCTGCGCTGGCAAGGTCTCGTCACAGCGGCAGTACGTCTGGTCGAAATTTACAACTGAAATGCTGGGGACGTTGTTCTCTCTGCGTACGAACGACGAGCATTGCTTCCGAGAGCAATAAAAGATTTGCGGGTTCGAGGTGCACGTACCTACACCCATTTAACACAACGGACGAAGGTTGGAAATGGTTCCCGTCAGCATCGTGGTGATCCGCATCCTGTGCTTGTGCCTGACATTCGCGTACGGTCTCGTCAGCCTCAGTCACATCACCGCCGCCTGGATGCTGAGGAAGAATTTCTACGTTGCGGTCAGGTGCGTGCGTGTTCTTTTCAATTATTAATATTAGCATCGACCAATATGCTAACCGACCGGTTCACACTAAAGAAAACACGTCAGTCTTACATAGTGACTGCGGCTAAAATAACAACGGAAATAACTCCTAGAAAAAGGTCGTGACTTACTGCTGTACAGCAGTCGGGTCGTTCTGTTGGGAAGGGACAGGGAGGCTACTCCTGTAGTTTGTTCTCCTGATTGAAGACAGAAGCGCAACAGATTCATGAACGACAAATGTAAGGGTTCGTGTTTTTTGCTCCCTCTGCGCACTATGTTGTTTCTACTGCGTCGAGATAGTTCCTGTCCCTCCGGCATTGTTGTGCGGCAGATCAACTTCAATTAAACTAAAACGAAGTTTTATGATAATAGTCGAAATTTAACTTCTGCTCATATCTACTTCCACATGATGTCCGCCACTATCACCGTTCCCATCTCTCTCTCCTCTTCCATCCCCCCTCTTTCGTTTTTACTACTGTTCTCCGGCCATTGTCACTCTCCTTCTCGTCAGCACCTTGTCTATTCTCTTTGTCGCCGCCTTACTTCTCCCTACCTCCTTCATTCTCCTCAGCGTCACCATGGCATGCACGAATCTTTCGATTGTAGGTACATGCGATCCTTGCTGTACATACCTTTCTTTCATGGACACTGTCACTCCACTTGTCGATTGGGGCATAACGTATGGGTCGAGAGGAGGGCTGTGCTGGTTGCTCACCCTTAGTGGAATGAAGGCTGCACTTACGACCAAAGAACCCCCCCCTCGGTGTTTGCCATCGGGGTTGGGTTTTCGTCGCTTGGCAACGACGTTGAAAGACAAACCGATCACTTCTGGAGCTCGGCAACCAGGTTACTACTTTTTTTTGTTTTGCCTCTGTTTATTGTTTGTTTGTGGTAACGGTGGTCGAGAGGATTTTGTTTTGCGGGGTCGAGAAACCTCACTCCGCGCAAACGGGATGATCGCATCACGTTGTGTTATTAAATTGGTCAAGCACCCTCGAGGCAGTTACACAGTGCTTATAACTGTCTCTGGAAGTGAAAGCACCAGAAAAAAAAACAATTCATACGCAGCTGTCATCCGTACGCAAGGAAGTAAGCGCAAGATGCCGAACACCCTTAGCAGGATGCAGCGCACCCTTCATGCGACTCGCCGAATACCTCACGGTGCTTCGCGCTTGGTGATGTGAGAGCCTGGCCCCGTAGAACCCGGCGTGCTCTGTCCCGGCTTTGTAGCGATGCGAGGTCAAAGGTCTAATGACTACGGCATGCACGACCATGAGTACCCCCCCCCCCCCCCTCGCGCAGAGTACAGCTTGTTGCAGCCTCTCCTCCCATGCTTCAGCGAAAAAACTTGAGTGCAGGCATATGCTTGCTTGCGTATGAAGAGATGTCGCTATCTCCTACGTAGATCAGGGTGACCAACCGCTTCTACTGCCCACAAGAGCGAGTATTGGGAGACAATGGCCACAAAACCCATCCCGAAAACGACGGGGAAAGGGCTCGGGCACGAGAACGATTCTCGATAAAAGAGCAGAACGGACGCGTCACAATGACAGAATCACACACAACCGAGACCTCGTGAACGTAAGCGCACATAAGCACCACCACGCCCCCCCGTGCGAAGCGCCTTTGCTTCGAAATCATGCGGTGTGGTTGGGGTCTCAGACACCTCATGCTACACCAACAACGCGGTGTCTCCTTCCTGCCTCTCTCGGTCCTCTCTGTTTTGGCCAATCGAAACAGGTCTCCCCTCCTGGCGACAACATCAGGCCTTGCCGGTGTTTTTATCGCGGGATCGGCGTTGATGCGCATGGCCATGTTTCCTGAGGCTCGTTCGCTGTCCGTTCTGCGGATCATCATCATCCCCTTGGCGGTATTTTGCTTCGTAGGGGTGTACATAGTGCGGGGCCTCCGTGTTGTCATCATGTACACCCCTTCGCATCGGAAGCGCTGGGGAAGGTACCTCAAGAAAGAAAGCACCACCGTCAAGACCATGCTGGCGGCTTTCGCAGCTGTCGAGGTCATCGCATGGTCTGCCGTACTACCTGTCGGACTGGAAAGGTGAAAGATGGGCCTTTCCCCAACTGGTCAGGACCCCGAATGTCTTTGCAACATTAGATGATAAGCAGCGCCAATTTTTGAATTTTCGTTTTCTCTATGCATATCAAACCTTCACAGGGTCGCAAGCTTCATGGTCATAGTGGCCAAAATCGAGTCCCTCATCATGCTGGGTGCGTCCCTCGCGCTCTTTGGCAAGCTGCAGCGGACCCATGACATATTCAAGGTGTCCTTGGAGATACGGAAAGTCGGAGCATGCGCGTTGCTCTCCTCGGGTGAGTGTTGGTTTGCCGTGTCCAATTTCATCAGAAACCAGACATTTTCCAACTGTTTATTGGTACAGCCTCCGCGCGGGTCCAAGCGTATCGTCCTTGCTCCCTCCATTGCAAGCGGGGTGTTTCGCGGGTATACGGTGTGGCCAGGTATGCTCGGCCGCCACAGTGGTGT